TTCAGACATTCAAATCATTGACCCCCCCCTCACCCCCTCCCCTCCCCTTCTAGATAATGTGTCTTTTTTGTGTGTCTGCTTTTGAGAATTTCTCCCTTTGTATTAAGTTTTCAGCAGTGTCATTATGATGTGGCTAGAAATGGGTTTCCTTGCATTTGCCCTGCTTGGGTTTCAGTGACCTTCATGAGTCTGTAAAATTTATATCTTTTATCGAATTTGGAGTTCTTCCAAGCCATTATTTTTCCATGTTTTTTTCCTGCATTGCACTCTTCCCATTGTGGGATGACAATGGCACAAATGACAGACCTTTTGGTGTCATCTCACAGTTACCTCAGACTCTATTAATTTTTCCTCAATATTTTTTCTCTGTGTTCAGCTTGGATACATGTTATTAATTTGTCTTTATGTTTTACTGATGTCTGTCTTCTCCATCTGCTCTTGGACCCACCCACTGGATTTATTTCAGTTATTGTATTATTCTAAAATTTCCGTTTTGTTCTTTAGATCTTCTACTTGTTGAGATTTTCTATTTTTCCAGTTGTCTTAAGCATGTTTGAGATTACTTGTTAAAGCATACACAAGTGAGAAAGTTATAAAGCATAGTAATAAGTCTCCAGTCTTCTTCATTCTCCTTTCCAATGCGCTTGTATATAGTTATCAGCAGAGCATACATCCAGTTTTGAGCCTTTTTTGGTACTGCCCACGATTTGGCAGGGCTGAGTGGAGGGCACTCATGATGCAGGCCCAGTCCTCAAACTGGGTGGGAGTGGAGGCTGTTTGGAGGCAGCTGTGCCCTCAGAAGCAGCCTGACGCTGCTGTCCACCTGGCTGGAGCCCATGGCCCTGGGATCGTCCTGGGCCAGCCATGCCCCCTGGGCCAGCCCCCTCGCTCACACGCCCTCCCACCCAGGAGAAGGAGCGGCAGCGCCTGGAGACCCTGCGGCGGAAGGAGGAGGCGGAGCAGCTCCGCAGGCAGAAGGTGGAGGAGGACAAGCGGCGGCGGCTGGAGGAGGTGAAGCTGTAAGTGGCCCAGCCCCAGCCCGTGGTCGCCCAGGCCGGCCGGGCTCCCCTGATTGTCCTGTGCCCTCAGGAAGCGCGAGGAGCGCCTCCGCAAGGTGCTGCAGGCCCGGGAGCGGGTGGAGCAGCTGAAGGAGGAGAAGAAGAAGCAGATCGAGCAGAAGTTTGCTCAGCTGGATGAGAAGACGGAGAAGGTGTGAGCCGGGGCTGGTGGTGGCCAGTGTCGGGGGGCTATTCCCGGCCGGGCCCTGCAGGTCGAACTTGGCCCGAGGGTTAGAACCAGACCCCTCAGGAAGGTGTGGGCTTGAGGCCCTTGACCCCTGTCCTGTCTGTCCAGGGGCCCTGGAGTTGGTCCAAGCTCAGCCGAGGGGGGAAGGTCTCAGCAGCAGCCCTTCGCGAGTGGCTGGGCCAGTGCTCTCGGTCAGGATTGGCATCCAGGCGCCCCCTCCCCTGGGCTGTGAGGAGCAAGGCGGGCTTGCAGGGGCCTGGGGTGCCTGTCCCAGCTCTGGGAGCCACTCTATAGGGTTGAGTGAGGAGGGCTCTGATGGCCATGTGTGGGTGGGCTCTGCAGGCCAAGGAGGAGCGACTGGCAGAGGAGAAGGCCAAGAAGAAGGCAGCAGCTAAGAAGATGGAGGAGGTGGAGGTGCGCAGGAGGCAGGAGGAGGAGGCACGGAGGCTCAGGTGGTTGCAGCAGGTGCGAACACAGGTGGACGGCTGGCGCATCAGGAAGGAAGGGGGGCTGGGGGGGCACTGCCTCTGCCCCCGAAGACTGGCGGGTATGCCCCATTTCGTTGGGTTAATCCTGGTGGGTCCTGTGGCTTCAAGCCCCAACGACGTTCAACAAATGCCTTGGAGATGGGGATGGTGACAGTAACCTGCTTTTGTGTTTCTGTAGAGGTGGCACTTTGAGGGTTAAGTACATGGACTCTAAGCCAGACTTCCAGTCTCAGCTCTGCCCTTTGTTAGCTGTGTGACCCCAGACAGGTTAATTGACCTCTCTGTGCTTTGAGCCCTTCAGGTAGCAGTGGTATCTACTTGATAAGGCTATTGTGAGGATGTGATATTCTGCCTGTAAGAGTAGGGACCTACCTCTTCATTGGAGCTGTCGATCTTATAAACCCAGGAAACACAAATCTGTCTGGGGTTATACTAGTGGCTAAAATTTATTTTCTACATGCCAGGCACTGTTCTAGGTATGTCAGCAACTTCATGAGGTGTAGGTATCACTGTTGTTTCCATTTGATGGATGAGGAAACTGAGGCCAGAGGATTTAAATGATAGCCCGGTGCCCACAGTGAGCACATCTGGTCTAGTCTGTACCCTTAACTCCTAAATCTACTGCAGCAGCAAAAGAGGTTGTTGCCAGATGCCTTTTCAGGCTGGTGGCGATGATGCTGTGGCGTCTGGCATGGGTGACCCTGGCTCAGTCCAAGTGTCTCTGGTGTGATCGGCCCCGGGCTGTGGGGAGGGAGCAGCCTCCCGTCAATGCGCCCTCCTCCCCACACCTCTTGCACCTCTACAGCCTGGCCTGAGGCCCTGACCTTGCTCTGCGTCCACAGGAGGAGGAGGAGAGGAGACACCAAGAGCTGCTGCAAAAGAAGAAGGAGGAGGAGGAGCAGGAGCGGCTGCGGAAGGCGGCTGAGGCCAAGAGGCTGGCGGAGCAGCGCGAGCAGGAGCGGCACGAGCAGGAGCGACGGAGGGAGCAGGAGCGGCTCCAGGCCGAGAGGTGAGGGAGCCCCGAGGGTCAGGCGGTGGGCCAGCCCCTGGGGGCCAAGGCGCCATTCTGCCCGTGTGCTTGTGTGGACGAGACATGGCGCCGTCCTCTAGAAGCGGCTCCCCTTCTCTTGGGGTTTGCAAAAGGGGGTCACGCTTCCCTTGGCTCCAAACTCCGGGGTCTGCAGCCGGTGGGACATTGCAGATGTAATGGGCGGAGTCACTTGAGACTCAGAGCTGCCTCCAGCCGGTGTGCTACCCCCTTTGGTTCATTTAGTCCTCAGCTGACGTGGCGGGGGCTCAACAGGATCCCCATGGGCATTTGGGCAGGAGTTCTTTACGGTGCATTGCAGGCCCTCCCCACTACATGTGCCTCCTCTGTGGTGATGAGATCCCCCATCTCCCCCGCCCCCAGCATTCCTGGACTGCCTCCCTTGGGGACTGTGGCAGAGAGCCCTGAGGTCTTACAGTGCTCAGAGGCTGAGGTCTATGCTCAGCGGCAAGATTCCCACATTGAGCTCTACAAGCCTTACTCTGGGGCCTGCCCTGAGCTCGGTCGTGCCAGATCCTGAGGCTGCAACGAGGACAAGCCACAGGCACTGCTGGCCAGGATGGGTGGGATCCACGTCTCGATGAACCTGCTGTGTGTGGATGTAGAGAGCTGTGCCCATGTATGTGGGAATATCCAAACAGGCCTGGCAACTGCCTCTTGCCTCCACCTCCTGGAAACACTAGGAAACGCTTCCTGTGTCTGTCTTTGGATGGCTTTGGGCCCAGTGGAAAGTGGGGAGTAGAAGCCATCAGGCTGAACTGCATCGGGGCCATCTCCGTGTTGCTTTTTTTTTTCTTTTAAAATTTATTGATTTTAGAGAGAAACATCGATTTGTTGTTCCACTTATTTATGCATCATTGGTTGAGTCTTGCATGTGCCCTGCCTGAGGATCAAACCTGCATCCTTGGTGTATCGGGATGATGCTCTAACCAACTGAGCTACCTGGCCAGGGCTCCCTGTGCTTCTTTATTGACACAAAGGTGTCTTGGTCCTGTGGCAGAGTCAGAGACTAGAGTCTGGAAGTGGAACAAAGGGTGGATGGGTGATAGTTGACGTGGTTTTAGAATTGCATGTGTGCCGGGCAATGCCAGGAGCTTTAGGGGGTGACGACGTGATGATCATAATAGCTGGCAGCTTTGGTGGTACTGAGCTCCAAGCTCTACACATTTTCCTTGTTGAATCCTCACCTGAAGGCCCTGTGGCATAGGAACCAGCAGCTCCACTTACCAGAACGGGAGACAGGTGCAGAGAGGTTAAATGACTTGTTCAGGTCATGAGCTAATAAGTGGAGGTGACTCCAAAGCTGGACTACAGCCCAGCCCTGCTTCATGCCAGGCTTGAGCCCAACAGCCACCCTGTGGGCCAGGACAATCGGAGGGACTTAGATTTTTCTCATCTAATTCTTGTGGTGACTCTGGAGGAGAGGTTTTGATCCCCATTGTACAGCAGACAAGACTGATGCTGAGCCCTAAGTTGTGTAGACGCGTAGGGGTCAGATTTGGTGAACTCCAAAGCCGGGTGCTCCCCGCACCCCGTCTGTGTGCTTTCCAGCTGTTTGGGCACAGGCGCAGCTGTGGGCTCGTGGCTGCTGTGCCTATTCTGTTGTTTTGTCTTCTACAGCCAGTGCCAATGGGCCTGGCTTCCCTGGCAGGGATGGAAACTGAGCCAGGGCTCAGCTTCCTGCCCTGACAGGCTCTTGCTTGGTCCTCAGGGAGCTGCAGGAGAGGGAGAAAGCCCTACAGCTCCAGAAAGAGAAGCTGCAGAGGGAACTGGAGGAGAAGAAGAGAAAGGTACAGGGATCTGGGTGTGTGGGGCTCGCTCGGGGTCTGTGCTGAGCTTTGGGCTGGGGAGCCCTGATCTAGTGGCTCCTGGGGTGGGAGCTGCCTTGCTTGCCTGGCTGCGTGCGGCTGGCCTGGGGGTGGGGGAGAGCACATTCACATGGGCCCTAACACTGGGTTCACTGGTCCCAGGAAGAGCAGCAGCGCCTACAGGAGGAGCAGGAGAAGAAGGCCAAGGAGGCTGCAGTGGCCAGCAAAGGCCTGAACACGACCGTGGACGTGCAGGTGAGTCCTGGACCCCAGAGCAGAGAGGGGCCCCCAACTCCAATTATTCTCTTCCCAGTACCTGGAGGCACAGATCTTATCTAAGGACCATAGGAAAGAGGAAGGATGCACTTGGCCCAATAGTTTTTACTATTTTTGACACGTGTGTTCTTTCTTATTATCAAAATAGAATTTGTTGTTTAAAAAAAAAAAGAAACTAAACTTTATAAAAGGAGATAAAGCAGAAGAAAGATGTCACAGATGAACACTGATTCCGGTGTACACCTCTCTCTATTTTTACACATACAATCATTTATACACAGTTTTAACCCTTTGCAGTCGTATTAAATTTGGACATGGGTGTCGTACTGGTCGGAATTAAGAGCTTGCAGAGAAATTATGAACTGATACATGAATGAATAGAGTTAAGATTCGTACGGTTCCTTGCTGTGGTGGCTGAGAGCAGACATACAACCGGAATGGTAAAAAAGCTTTGTTGGCTGAGAGTAGACATACGACCACAAAGGGTTAAGTTGGCACAGACTGTACATACTGTCCCAGTCTGCTCAGGCTGCTTTAACAAAGTTCCATAGACCAGGTGGCTTAAACAAACACTTATTTGGGACTGGGAACTCCACGTTCAAGATGCCAGCAGATTCTTTGTCTGCTGGGAGCCCTCTTCCTGGTTCACAGTCTTCTCGCTTGCACGGTGGAAGGGGAGACGGAGCTCACTGGAGTGTCTTAAAGGCACTAATCCCATTCATGTGGGCTCCACCCTCATGACCTAAGCACCTCCCAAAATGCCCCCCTCCTAATACCATCATGTTGAGGACTTGACGTAGGAATTGGGGGACACCAACACTTACTCTATAATACATACTATTTCGCAGCTTGATTTTTTTCTCCCCTTTTTTTCCTTTTTAGTATATATAGCATATTGTAGACATCTATCTATTTCAGCACTTGTAAATCTCTTGTCGTTGAGTGTTGTGTATCAGCTAGTTGTACCAGACTTTCTTTAACCAGCGCCTGTTGACAACTCTTTAGGTGACTTCCAGTTTAATGCTTTCCAAACAAAATGTACTATGACGCAGGGTGTTCAGTGCAGCATAGGTTAAAGTGTCAGAAAGTGGGAAGTGAGCTGAACATTCACCTACGTGGATGTTTAAGTTTCAAATCGTGGGGTTTCCAGTGGAGTCCTGGGGAACTGTTCACAGAGGGCATGCTGGCCTAGAAATAGTTTGCAACTTACTTTAACATGAAAAAGGAAGATACAGAGTAGTGTATGTGGGGTGACTTTTTAAGCAACCCTGAGCCTTTTGATTTTTCCTGTGAAATGAGGGGAGGTGCCCCAAGCCCCAGCACTCCTCCATTGTAGGAGGTGCCAGAGTGGGGAAGGGGAGCTGACGGCCTTGTTTATCTTCCCCAGTCTCCAGCTTGTACCTCATATCAAATGACTCCACAAGGGCACAGGGCTCCCCCCAAGATCAACCCGGACAACTATGGGATGGATTTGAATAGCGATGACTCCACCGATGACGAGTCCCATCCCCGGAAGCCCATTCCCTCCTGGGCCAGAGGTAAGCAGGGCCCAGAGCTCCCTGGAGACCTGGGTCCTTACTTGTGACTTCTGGGGCCCTGGAGGAGTGGCTCAGTGGATGCACGTGTTGGGAGACTGTGCTCATGGGCTGGAAACTTGATGTGTTGGCCTGACAGGCCTGTTTCGGGACTTGGGATGCACTCAGGGAAGGATGGGCACTCTGTGGCCAGTGGACTCATCTTTGGATCAGATGTTGGACACCTTTGTTCTCAACAAATGTATTAAATTGCATCTGGCTGTGGGCACTGTGGTGCTTTGTGTTCTGGCTCAGGCTCTAGGCCCCTCCTGGGAGTCCTGCCTGGGAGGCCATATGAGACTTGGACCCAAATAAGCAGCCTGGGGTGGGAATAGAGCTAAGAGTGGTAATGGGATTTAGCAGTACACTGCGAGCTTAGTCTGGGCGTTCCAGTGAGCTGAGGGAGGCAGGAAAGAAAGCCCTGCGGTAGGGGCAGGGCACTTGAGCAGGATTTGCCCCTGGAGTTTACAGGCCCCAACTCTAAGCCCCAGCGTTTAAACAGGAGCGTGGCTGAGCGTGACTGCTCCGAAGCCTGCTGGCAGTAGGGTAGGGCCAGTGCATACAGTGGTGCTCTACAGAGTTTGCAGGGCTGGGGGTCAGGGCGGGCTGCAGTCTCACTCCCCAGGGGTCTTGCTCTACAGAAGACAGCATGCTCTTATGAGTGCCACCTCATTTGAACCCCATGTAACCAGAATCTGACTTAATCTCCCCAACTACTAGCATCAAGTCACTTGAGAGGTGTCAACAAGCAGAGGTCACTGTGGCCAGGGAGCTAGATGGCTGGCAAAGCCCCCTAATTGTAGTTGACATTCACCAGCTTACTTAACCCCAGTTTTCTCATCTGTGAAAAGGGCATGATAATAGTGCCCAGCTGAGAAGGGTTATTAAGGATGAAGTTAGTATATGGGAGACCTGGTGCAGAGCAAGCTGGGCACGGTTTCCACCTGATCCTCCCTGTTGACAAGGGTATGCCACCCCCAGCCTCATCCCTGAGGCCCCCTCAGTCTGCACCTTCTACCTTGGAGCCTGTGCAGCTCTGGAGCTAGACTTGGCTCGAAACCCCGGCTCTGCCAGTTGCTAGCGATGTGCCTTCGGGCATATCTTGCTGTTATAAGATGGGGAGAATGAAGGCTCTGGCTCCCAGGTGGGTGTGTGGATAAGGAGAGTCCGGCCCCTATGAGCTTCTGAGGACCTGTGTTCACAGGCTCCCAGACGGTGGCAACAGGAACATGCAGGGAGAGCATTGTCGGTGTTTGGTGGTGGGGCGGGAGGAGCGGGGCCCAGAGGAGCTGGCATGGCAGGAGGTGCGGGCATGCTGGTGCGGAGAGGCTGCAGGGCTCTGGGTGGGGCGGGGGCATGGGGAACCCCAGGGCAGTGACCCGGCCCGGTGCTCCCCTACAGGCACCCAGCTCAGCCAGGCCATCATCCACCAGTACTACCACCCCCCGAACCTGCTTGAGCTCTTCGGCACCATTCTGCAGCTGGACTTGGAGGACATCTTCAAGAAGAGCAAGCCTCGCTACCACAAGCGCACTAGCTCCGCCGTGTGGAACTCGCCGCCCCTGCAGGGCGCCCGGGTCCCCAGCAGCCTGGCCTATAGCCTGAAGAAGTTCTGAGGCATGCCTGCTGGCCTTCGCATTCTCGGCCCGTCTGTCTCAGGCCATCTGTGTCTGTCCATCTCTCTGTTGGTCTGGTGTTCTCCCTTGCGTTCTGTCACCGAGGGGTTGGTCACATGTATATATACATAAACGTCCTCTGTGTGCTGAAGGTGGGAAGTGGCCCCGGCCTGTTTGGGGGCTGCACTTGTTGGGTGTTGGGGAAGTGACAGCCCAGCCTCACCAGCCTGCTGGCAGCACTCTGTAAATAGGTTGCCTTCATTTTAGCCTCTGGTGTTTGAGAGCTAGATTAATAAAGTTTATTCATTCATGCCTGCTGTGGGTTTTGTAAAGACCAGGGGCTTTGGCAGACGCTGGACCCTGGCCCTGCAGCCAGATGTCTCAGGCCACCAGATGGGCTCCTTGTCCTTGTGTTTCAAGGTCATCTGGGTCCCACCCCCAGAGGTAATGATGCAGTGGGTGATTGTGGTGCCATCCTGGGCAACCCTGAGAAACACTTCTGCTACTCATGATGGGCAGGTGAAGAAGATACTTCTGTTTTTCTCCGGAGCCCCCTGTTTGCTAAGGGGGGTGCTTATTCACTGGGAGAGACCTAGGGTTGAGGTCAGGACAACTGGGCTCTTTGTACGGCTCTGCCGCTTAAGGCAGTCCCTCAGCCCCTTGCTGCATGGATGGTGATGGGTTGAGCTGCATAAGTAGGATTAGAAAGGAGATTTCTCTTGAAAGTACCTTGGGGCCAGTGTTTGCAAGCAGTTGAGATATTTCCCCAACAAAATCAGAAAGCTGCTAATTAACTGCTTAGTGCTAATGGACGCTGGCCCTGGTCCTGCCCCAGAGCTGCTAGCTGAGTTCTAACTGTGTAAGGGCCAGTTCCTTTTCCTCTGCTGCTCTAGCCCCCACATCAGGTCAGTGGGCAAATCAAGCCACAGCCAGTTTCTGTAAAGTTTGATTGGAACCCACCCAATAGAAACAAATGCCCATTGTCTCCGCTGCTCTGCTGAGGGCAGAGTGAAGTAGTTGCAACAGAGGCCTTATGGCCCACAAAGCTGAACATGCTATGAGCCTTACAGAAGACCTCTGCTGACTCCTGCTTTACAGCTAAACAGAGGCTAAATTCAGGGGTGCTTGAAAAAGGAGGAACTAGTGACCATACATGGTATGCTGACATCTAGAGGATTCCACCCATACCAAGGAAAGCATCTTACACTTCATTCAAATTTGGTGCATGGTTCAAATTTGATCCATATATTCTCTGACTAGAAACTTCTGTTGAGTCAACTGGCGATTGTGTTTTCCTGAAGTCGCAATGTTAAAATATTACTTCTTGTGAGCATATTTATATAGTGCGTTTGAGAAAAATTCACTCAGTGAAAAGGTATTTCTAGTTGCTCCGTGTCTTCACCAGCACTTGGTATTGTCAGTATTTTTTATTTTAGCCATTTTAATAGATGTGGTGAAATCTCACCATGGTTTTAATTTACATTTCACTACTGGAATGATGGCAAATTTCTTTTCATGTGCTTATTTGCCATCTGTGTATCTTCATTGATGACGTGTCCAAATCTTATGTTCATTTTTATTTTTTAATTTCTTTTGCCTTTTTTATTATTTTTGGGTTTTTTCTTTTTTAAATTGGGTAATTTTCTCACTGTTGAGCTTAGAATCTTTATGTATTACAGATACAGATCAGTTGCTGGTTATATACTTTGCAATATTTTCTCCTAGTCTGCAGCTTGTCTCTTCATTCACTTAACAGTGTTTCTCATAGAGCAACAGTTTTTATTTGGGTGAAGTCCATTTTATTTTTTTTCTTTTATGGGTTGTGCTTTTTGGTGGCATGTCTAAGAAATCTTTGTCTAGCCTCAGTTCTTGAAGATTTCCTTCTGTTTTATAGTTTAACATTTAATTTAGATTTATGATCTATTTTGCATTAATTTATTTTAAGTGTGAGGCTTATGTTTCCTGTTTGGTTTGGGGGCATATGGATGGATGTCCAGTTGTTCCAGTACCCTTTATTGAAAAGACTGTTCTTTTTCCACTGAATTTCTTTTGTATCTTTGTTAAGAATCAATTAGCCATTTTAGTATGGGTTTATTTCTGGACTTTGTGTTCTCATCTATTGATATGGGCAAGATTACTGTAGCTTTTTGTGTAAGCCTTAAAAAGCTGGTAGTGTGATTTCTGCAACTTTATTCTTTCAAAATTATTTTGGCTTTTCTATCAGTTTTGCCTTCCTATGTAAATTTTAGAATCAGCTTATCTATGCAAAAGCCCTGCTGAGATTGCATTAAATCTATAAATAAGTTTGGGGAGAAATCACATATTTATGATGGTGAATCTTCTAAACCATGAACATGACATGTGTCTCCACATTTGCATTTTTTTGCTTTCTTTCATCAGCATTGTATAGTTTCAACATACAGATTTTGTACAAAGTTCTATTGGATTTAGAGCTAAGTATTTTCTTGGAGTTATTATGAATGGTGGTGTTTTTCTAATTTTGGTTTCTACTTGTCATTGCTGGTGTATGGACATACAGTTGATTTTTGTGTGTTGACCTTGTATCTGGTGATGCAATGAAAGCAATAGTAGAAGGAAAGTTACTGAACTAGATGCTATGTTAGGAAGAAAGTCTCAAATCAGTGGTCCCAGCTTCCACTTAAGTAAAAGCAAATAAAAGTAGAAGCAGAAGAAGGGAAATAACAAAGGTAAAGCAGAAATCAATGGCATTGAAAAAAAAGTAATAGAAAAAATTTAAACCAAAAGCTGGCTCTGAGAAGCTCAAAAACAATTCATATACCTGTGCCAAAACTGAACAGGATAGAAAGAAATGACCAATGCCAAGAATGAGAGAGGTGATACCACTACAGATTCTACAAATATTATGAACAACGATGGCAATAAATTTAAACATTTAGGCCCTGGCCAGTGTATCTCAGTTGGTTGGAGTGTCCCCCCAAGCACCAGAAGGTCACAGGTTTGATTCCCAGTCAGGGCACATACCTAGGTTGTGGGTTCAATCCCTGGTTGGGTCACATATGGTTGGCAACCGATCAATGTATTTCTCTCACATCAATGTTTCTCTCCCTCCTCTAAAATCAATAAATTAAACAAAAAATTAAACATTAAGGTAAAATGAGCACAAATTCCTTGAAAGATACAAGAATATCTTAGTTCACTCAAGAAGAAATAGAAAACCTAAATAGCCGTATTTACGAAAGAAATTGAATTTGTAGTTTAAAATCTTATAAAGAATACTCTAGGCCTAAATTACTTTAGTAGTCAATGTTACCACCTACTCAAGGAAGAAATACTACCAATTCTATACTACCTCTTCCAGGAAATTGAAGAGGAAAGAATACGTTCCTGCTCCATCCATGAGGCCAAGATTTTTGTGATCCCTAAACCAGACAAAGATATTGTAAGAAAGGAAAACCAGACACTTATTCCTCATGTACATCAGCATAAAACTCTTAATAAATTTTTTAGCAAATCAAATCCAACAAATGATCTTATATAAAAAGGAATAATACACCTTAACCAAATAGAGTTTATCCCAATAATGTAGATTAAACATTTGAAAATCAACTAATACAACTTACCATATCAATACAGGAAGAAAACCATGTGATTTAATAGATACTGTAAGTGCACTTGACAATTCAGCTCTAATTTATGATAAAAGCTCTAAGCAAATTTGAATTTAAAGGGAATTTCCTTGGTTTGATAAAGCACATTTACAAATGTAGTCTCCCTACACTTTTCAACTCATCACACGTTTGATTCTGTTTCAGATGTCTGATTTTTGCATTTCGTCTAGATTTTCTACTTATTCTTGGGTGAAGTGTTGGTCTCATACAAGCTATGTGATCATAGGCAGAAGTGGACGTTTGAAGGGCTTCTTTACTGGCGCTGGATGTCTTTCATAATTTTGGAATTTTCTCATGGATTATCAATTCAAATATTTATTATCCCACTAGTTTCACTTATTTCCTTTGTGGATCCTAATTATTCATCTGTCAGACCTTTTAAATTGATCATGGAGTAAAGAGTCAGGCACAATCAGGTCAACCTGTGGGACTGGCTTACAGTAGAAACGTCCACTGATTTTTTCTTAGACTGAACACAACTCTAAGGTCTGAGCCACCAGGTGGCACCATTTCACGCAGAATCTGGAATCTCCCTGAACACTTGCAGTCTACCATCAATCACCAGGGGAGCCTTTAATATTTGTCTCTGGACGCAACGACCAAAGTTACTCCAAATGACAATTTCACTTGGATTTGTACTAGTTCACAGCAACTGACAATCTCTTCTTGACAAAAGAAAGCTCTTCAGAGTCACGCCAGGTGTATTAAATGGCTGCCTCTTTCAATGTCACACCCGCAGAGCAGCAGACGAGAAATTGAGGGTAACATGGGCTGCTGAAGCCATGAGACGCAAGCCACGTGGGGCTCACATTGAGGCGTGACCACTGAGGGCAGAGGAAATAGAGGGGGCAGATGAATGATCGCACTGGTGGTGTGGAAGGACCGGAGGAAAATTGGACGATGGAGCCTGGGAGGAGGAGAGGACGCAGAAGCGCCTTATTTGAGAGGAAAGACAGTGTCTGCATGTATGGGTCCTGCTCAAAGGATAATTTTTTTTTTTTAAACATCCAGTCATTTTTTTAAAAAAATATATATCTTTATTGATTTCAGAGAGAGGAAAGGAGAGGGGGAGAGAGAGAGAAACATCAATGATGAGAGAGTCATTGATCGGCCACCTCCTGCACGCCCTGACTGGGGATCAAGCCCGCAACCCGAGCACGTGCCCTGACCGGGAATCGAACCCCGATCACCTGGATCCTAGGTCGATGCTCAACCGCTGAGCCACGCCCGGCTGGGTTCAAAGGATAATCTGAACAAGACACTGTAAGTGTTGTACAGACATGCTATCATTTAACTCCCATTATTTTCTTGTAAAGAAAGAATAGTTTCCATTTACTGAAACGTAGAAAAATTAAAGACTCTCTCAAGCTGACATATACCATATAACCCCCAGTTGAAAAACTAGGTCCACACCCTGAACCCTGATGATACTGAACAGTCCCCCTGCCCCTTCCCTGTTGACCTTGGGAAGGCACCAGCACAACCTGAATGGTGTGCTACAGACAGGGATCCAAAACTGGACATAGGAAACCAGACTAGTTGTCTCCCTTAAACGATATTGAAACTATTTCCCTGTGGCAAAGATCTTTTATCTTTGTCACTAATATCCAATATAGAAATCAGTACAGAAAAAATTTCAAAAGGAGAGTTAGAGTTTTATTTGCTTAAAAAATAACCCATAAACAAACTTCCATTGGCCACAGGCTCATGATCAGTCAAAGCCCTGACCACAGTGGAAATCAGCACATCACCTGACNGTGTTTTTTCTTAAATAACAGCATCTTTGATTTGCACACCTCTGACCCACCAATCTCCTCCTGTTTGCCCAGGTGAGCCCACTCTCAGACAAAAGTGGATTTATCAAGAACTCACTGGACTTCATGAGATTCACCTGCAAGGTCATGACCACCCCAGTTACTTGTTAGTCAAAGCACAATAGAAATCAGCATGTCACCTGAGGCTGAACCAACAACACAGACTGACCAGGGTCCAATCTCGGCCCACCCTCCTTTTGAAATCACAGCCCCTGGCAAAACCACAGAATGATATCAGTACAACAGCAAAGAACAAAGCAGGAAACTCAACAGTGTTCTGGGAAAAGAAAGTGACAACATCTGATTAGAAGTGTTTTTCACACAGGTAGGGAGCAGTAGGTGAAATCTGCTGAGAAAGAAATCTGGAGGAAGGGAAGTCCCAGCATGGGCTGGAGAAAGCTCCCTTAGAGGGAGCACATTTTTGTGCAAAGGAGGAATCAAGGGTGAGGGTAGGGCTTGAATAACTATTAAAGTTTAAAATAGGAAAGGGCGAGAGAGAAGCACATGGCCAGCACTGGGCAGCTCCCTCACCCCCGCTCCCTCTGTTTGCTCAGGACGTGGTGTTTCACTGTAGGAGACAGAAGGAAAAGGCAGAACAACTGATTTCCTTTGGGTACAATAAGTTACAGGTCAGCTGATGACACCGAAATGACGCCGCATCACAAAATAATACCTAGTGTCCATTATCAAAGGAGCCATGGACGAGCAAAATTTCTGAGTATTGCTAATGGTGTTGGCCGCATGCCTTTGAAGATGTCAGAGTCTTTGTTCAGAGACTGTAACACACTGGGCCTTACTATAAGTCGACACTTTACCTTTTCCTCTAAGTGGCAGTCAGTGTGACCCACACTCAGTCCTGACGGTGAGGGGGCTTCTCCCTTCCCTTGGTGACTGCAAGCTATGCATTTCCCCGCACAGTCAAGCCAGCTCTCAGCAGTCTTTCCCGGCGTTCATCAGCTGGGGTCCCATAAAGGAAATCGAACAGGTTCTAGGTGTAGTAAACGGGGAATTTCACCCAGCAGTTGGTAATAAAGGTGTTTGCAGGCTGGGGAAGCAAAAGAGGGGAGATGAAGGATGGAATCTTCCATTGATGGAAGATTGCGGCAAGACAGTTCCTAGAAATGGGAGAGAAAAGAAAACGGGGGTTGCCCGGACCCCGTGACCGCAGGTGAAGCTGAGGCTGCTGTGGGGACTGAGCTCACTGACCAAGACCCCGGAGCCCGTGCACGGCAGCCGCCCCTGCGGACACTGCCTTCTGGGTGCCGTGAGTATTCTACACTCCGCTCCCACAGCCACTGCAAGAGGCGACGTGACCGCCGAGAGCCGTCACATCTCCCCTCTTCCCACCTTCAACCCCCAGCGCCTTCCACTGGAGAAGCTACCAGGAGGGCAGCTGGAGGGGAGTCGGGATACGTGACTCGCAGGCCTTCAGCTGTGACAGGAGCAGGGTGAGTAGGACAGAGCAATCCTGAAACTAAGACAATATGGGCCTCTGCACAGCCATGGTCATCCACAGTCCTCATCTTATTTCCAGCCAGTTGGAGGCCACGAGTTAATAACTGGTAGCTGGCTGCCCATAACATGAGAAACCAACTTAATTAACTTCCTAAATAGCCTAGAGGATCCTACAGTGAGTGTTAGTTAGCTCAGGAGTTTCCCTGTCCAACTCACAGATCCTGAGGTTATTTGGCTGCCTTCTCTGGGATGTTCTTCCAAGGTTCATAAACAACTTTATTCAGCCTGCTGTTGATGCCAGAAGGCGACTGTTTTCCTCCCGAAGCTAAAGACGTAGAACACATAGTCCCTTATGTTCATCCTCAAAAGTGACAGCTGTGTGCACAGGGGACTTGAACTTCCCTGCGTGGAAGGTACCTTTGTGAGTTGTCCTCAAGTTCTTGTTGACACATGGGGCTGACCTACAGTAGGAGCATGTACCTCAGGATAGACCAGCAGGCCTCCTGGCTGGGGGATGGTCAAGAAGAGTGGTGAGGACGTGGCCTTCATGGCTCTGAGGCAGCTCTTCCTCAGCAATTGCTTTACGTAGCATCAGCTCCCCAGGTAGAACAGGGGTTTAACAGAACCTCACCTTGGCCTGGTAACCTTGACTCCTGCTGAAAAGAACCTTAGGATGGAGAGAGAGTCCTTGACATTGAAGTGTCTTCTCCTGGAAGGTGCAAATCACTGGGGTGCCTGGAAATCTCACGGGCCCATGGCAATGTCGTCTGTGCAGAGCCCGAGCTCCTCTGGAGGCAGCCCGCACGGCCATCCTGGCACTGAGAGGGCTTTGGGCTCTCTCAACCCCGGGTGGTTTCTGTCATTTACTCGGGTCCTGATTTGCCACTGGACTTGGGCCTGACTCCCAGAGCCTGGGCGTGGGGTGGGGCGCATGGCTGTGACCGGATGAGTAAGACTTGGAGTATCTGTTGGACAATTTGTCTCATAAGTTGAGATTGTTGGTTTAGTCTCTCTTGAACAGAACACCCCAAGGACGCTGCACACAAGACCAAAAGAGGTCCACGCCGATAACAGGTGGACCTGGGTAAGTGTGTGCAGGTGTTTTTCCAGCTTCTAGATCACTGCAACGTTTCCGTAACTTTGAAGTTATTTTCAAGCTCAAAGTTGAAAATTGTTTTCCTGAGGCAAAGTGTATTGTGATGAACACACTCCTGCCGTCCCAGGAAGAAGGGTCCGCCACCCAGGGAGAGTCCAAGGTAGAGCTGGGTCCCGGGAGGACCCCTCGACGGGTGGCAGCAGGGGAGTCGATGTGCACTCGGAGGAAGGGGCCTCACTCTGCAGGTTGGGTCTGAAAGGGCAGCGACCTGATCCCCGGCCTTATGAGCACACAAGGGGGCGAGTGCACACAGTGAGACTAGTGAGCCTTCTGGAGCAAACCAGGCGTTTCTGACTTGTTCCTATTTTATTTTATTTTATATTTTATTTTATTTTATTTATTTTATTATTGTTTATTTTTTACCTATGTACAACAAGAAGAGATGTAGCCACCCCAGGAGAGCTGAGTTATGGGGAGAGCTGGTGAACAGGAGGCAGGAAACCACCTCTGATGCCCCACGGCCCTGTCCATGTCGGGGGCCTCCCTTTGCAGCTCAGGGCTCAGAACAAGAAGTCAGAGCACCGTTGGGTGACTGAGGGCTGCGGGCAGGTGGCCTGTGGAGCGGTGAGGGGCCGGTGGCAGCTCTCACGAGTCCCTGAAGCCTCAGGGCACGAATCCCGTGGCTCTCAGTGCACAAGGGGTGGGGCAGGAGCAATAGCGCGGCTTCTGGAGTTTGTAAGATGAGGGGCTTTGGCGATTTGGGTGCCATCAGAGACCTTGCAGCTTTGCGTAAAGACAAATGTGTATCTTTCAATTTTTGATTTTTCTTTTAAAAAAAAAAATGTTCCCACGTCCATCTCTTAGTGAGCTGAATGAGGCCTGGTTTCGATTTTCTGCAAAGCAAGGACACGGAGACCACTCTCCAGAGAGAAAATTGCTGGTCCCCCAATATTATTCCAGCTGTGTTCTTGACACTGAGAGTTGCATATGCAGAGTCACTGCTGCACAGGGTCTGACAGGGGACCTGTGGGCGTCTGTCTTTGTGAAATGGAACAAGGCTGTTTATGACAGGGGAGGTGGCACATGGGAACCAGGGAAACCAGATGCTATGTACTGTAGAAGCCCACGTGGACATCATGATCCAAAAGTGATGTCTCAGGTGTCTCCATCCCGCCATGATCCAGAAGTGATGTCTGAGGTGTGACCCAGTTAGAGACTGAGCGCTGGGGGAGCCCTGAGATTCCAGACCTGTGTGCCTTGGGATAAATTATACCTGTCCCCAGCTACCCATGCCCATGACCTTAGTTCCAATATCCAGATTTAGGGATTATAAAATCACAGTAACAGTCACTTAGATGGGATCAGTAAACAGTAGATTAAGTGACTGAAAAGTAAGCAGCTCTTTGTAACCAAGAGAAATCCCAACAAAACCAGAGCCAACTTCAGAAGCGCACTCAGTGGGCACCAAGGATAAACCAACCCTCCGCCTTGGCAGGGTCAGTTAGACCCGGTCTGATGTTTGCCTTTGGGGATGAGGTGATTTATTCTGTTTAACTTACTACTTACATTTTTTTCCGTTTTGTTGCATCATTTTAGTAGCTGACGTTTTCCCTCCGGATACCGTGCTGAGCATTTTTCCTGAATTAATTTACTTATGCTAACACTCATCTATGCTGTCGCCCCTATTTTACAGATGAGGAAACTGAGCCAGAGAGGGTCAGCGCCTCACTGAAGACCCCACGAGCAGAAAGCTCCAGAGCCGAGCTTGAACCCAGGTACCCGGCCCTGAAGCTGGGCCCTTCCCCTCAACCCAGTGAGTGACGCACCCTGAATTTAAAGGTCCAAACAGCTCTTGAGAATTCAAAACACAGCGTCCGACTGCCCGATGGGGCTCCGGCGGGGGCGGACTGAAGCTACAATAATTTGAGAAGAGGTGACTTTAAAGTTTGTGATATTTCTTCAGGAACAGGGTGTGAGCCCTGGTGGTTTAGACCCCTTGTTATACCCCTGAGTGAATTTTCCCGATTTGACCCTCAAGGTTTGCGAGCTTCAATCGTGTGAACGTCACTGTGGAGCTGCTGCAGCTCCAGCGGCCGACGGCGGGCTGTCTGCCTTGGGTCGCAGGGCGATCCCGTTTGTGGGACGGGACGGGACGGGACAGGACGGCTGTCCCTGCGCCCATCTGTGCTCGGCGTTGTCACCTTCCACCCGGTCCAGCAGTTCCTCAGCGGATCCTCGGAGGTTCCCCTGGTGGCCGGTCGACTGTCTATGTACCTGATTCCCCCGGGGTGCGAACAGAATGTTTTCAACGAGATGATTCCTTCGTTTCCGACGAGTTTTGACTTTTACAGCAGTTTTAGGTTCACGGAAAAACCGAGCAGAAAGTCCAGCGAGTCCCACCTGCTTCTTTCCCGGGCGCAGCCTTCCGCAGGGTGGGCACCGCGCCCCCTGCCCTCGACCCCGCTGGGCCACGGCTGGCGCTTGGCGACAGTGCCTCGAGGTTACAGGACACCGCCACGCCGTCCCCCGGGAGGGACAGTTCCCGTGGCGCCACGTCCCCACCCGCACTTGCGGTGGTCGCCCGGGATCCTTTTAAAAGAAAAAGAAGGAAGAATTGAGCAGGGCAGGGACCAGGCTGAGTCACCTACGAGAGAAGCGGGTCGAGTTGGAAACTGAGACGCAAGTGCCCGCATGAGAGCTCAGGGCTCGTGGTCTTGTTTCCACCGGGCGTGTCACCTCTACCCGACACCCCGGCGGAAAGTCCCACTGAGTGACTTTCTCGCTCACATAAGTGCTCGGGCTGCACCTCGTGGCCTCCAGACTGCGCACGTTTGAGCAAAGTCCCACTTTCTGAAAGTTAGTGCACTCGCCTGTTGAACTGGGGCATGTGGTAGCTTATTGATTTGCAGCAATGATTAAATATGATAAATTATGTTGACACATGGTCCGACCAGAGTTAGCAAAAAAATATCGCTGCTCCTTTACTTACGACTGTTATTAGCGACATAGTGTTTGTCACCCAAAGGACCTGTGTGCAAGAGGATGGTGGGTCTCAGATCTAATCAGCTCACACATATTTTAATGACATTATTTATTTTATTTTTTGTTAAGTCTCACCCATCACAGTGTGTATAAAAACCCATGTGATATTGATTGAGATCCGAGACAGCAAGAAAGCTCCAGGGCACAACATCCACTTGTGTCACCTCACCCACCCGTTCTGCCACCCGGGCTCCCGGGGGAAGGGACACTCTCCTTGGCGTGGCCCATCCTGTCTCTGCAGTCGCTCGGCGGCCCCCCTCTCTGCTCTGCTGTGGGCTGGGGGACACCGCTCCCCTGCTCCACAAGCCTCCCCGTCTGTGGCGTCTGGTCTTCCCTCAGGCTCCTGCCTCGGGTGGCTCCTCGGAACATTGCTTCATGTCGGAATGATTTCTGTCCAGAGTGGCTCTCAAGTATGCTCCCCTGTCACCAGACGGCTTCCCTGAGCCTTTCTCAGAGTGGTCCCTGCCCCCCTGAGTTTCCACAGAGCAGGTGCTCAGGGTGGGGGCAGGCAGAGGACCAGCCCTGGGGGCACTTGTACTGCTGGGACCCGATCACTCAGAGGGCCCTGTGCTCAGACTGAGAGGTGAGACTGTCCCAGGACAGTTCAGGCTTTGATTTGATGGGCACGTTTGCTTGGTAGTGTTAATGGGTTAGATTAGTCTAGGAAGTTAGGAGGTGGAGGGGTTGTCTTCCTCTTGACACTGTTTTGTCTTGGGAACCAGGCACCGCGGACTTTTTCACAATTGTCACCACACACTGACCTTTCCCCTCAACCGCCCAAAGGAACCCTGGCACACTGGGCATCATTTTACACGAAAGATGCCCCCGAACCAGGTGGAGTGGTTTCTCCAGTCACAGTCATTCATTTATTCCAGGCTGAGACCAGGGAGCAACACCAGACACTGTCGGCGGCTAAGGCGCTGAATCCCAGGGGCTCCCTTCCATCAAGTGATTACACATTTGTCAAAGTCCAGCCTCGGTCTGTGCTGCAAGGCAGACGTGCACGGTGCCAGCAGGGCCTCTCTCTGACACAGCCACTAGGGTGGGACCGTGTGGATGACATTGGCACTTACTGAGGAAGGGAGGGCTAGAAGCCAGGCCTTGTGATCTGTAACGTCCTTTGTGGGCAGGACCAGTGAGGCTCACTAGGTACAAATAGCCCCGGGCTCCCCAGGATGCTGAGTTCAGCTCCCAACTGCTCATTGTGGCCTAAAGCGGATCTCAAAGCAAAATCAGCCATGAGACTGTTCCTGCCTGTCCTGCTGGTCACTCTGGCCCTTGGCTGCCAGGAGGGTGAGTAGTATTTCCGATCGGACACAGGAGCCAAGTAAGTAACCCTCTGACCTAGGGGGCTGCTTGGGGAGAGTGGGGAACACATCAGAATCCAAACCTTACAGAAAATCGCTGCAGAAAATTTGAAGAGTTTTGCCATGGAAGCCCCCTCCCCCCCATGGTCTGCGTCCGGGAAGCAGCAGGGCCTCATAAAACTGGTCTGCGAATCCTGGTTCTGCCGCTTGGCAGTGCTGGGACCTCGAACAAAGGCTCCATCTCTCCAAGCCTCCCCAAATCCTTGGCTTTCCAGCTATCGCGGGAGAAGCTGTGACCATGAGTGACATGAATAGTCAGAGGCCAGCTATGGTCTCCCCAGACGGTCTCTGTCCAGAGTCTTTTAGGTGCCAGCGAGTCCAAGTCAGACCCATGGAAGGTTCCCGCAGGCGGGGGCTCAGCTCAGGAAGAGCCGCTGTTGTCTGAGTCTCGAGTCACCAGTGTTCCCGTGGCCTGAGGGTCAGCAGCACTCACTGAGGCCACACGTCCTGCTCCTGCAGGAGCCCAGCCAGGATGTGCAGAAGCAGCGCAGTCACCAGGCTGCAACTGCAGTGTTTCTAGGCAAACTGCAGACTTTCCGCCAACAGAAGGGCCGTGTGCTCGTGCCCTCGGGACGGGACGGAACAGAGGCCCTCTGAGCCTGTCTCCTGCACCTGACTTTCGGCACCTCCTCCCCTTCCCCGAGCGGCCCCTCTCCCCACGCCTCAGCCCTGCACAGCCGCTGTCTGACCAGGTGGGATTGGGCCCTGCAGGGGCGCCTTTGGAGCTGCAGGTGGTTACAAAGCCCTGGGTGGGGGGGGAGAATGCAGAGCAGGAAAAGGGGTCACTTCAGGTCTCGGTACAATCCCAGTGGGAGGAAAGTAGGCCCCAGTTCCTGCCTCCCCGCCCCAGGAACTCTGTCCATCAAAGCAGAATCCGAGAGACAGACGTGATCTGTGTTTCAGCTTCAGATGCATGAAGCTTCCAGACTTCCCTTTATAAGCTTTGTAGCAGTCTTCACCCACCGACCAAACCCCAGTGTAAAACTTAGTCAGAAAAGGGCGTCTCCCCTCGTTTCATAGTTTCCCTCACTCCTCTCCAGATGGACCCCCCTCTGATCTCTGGTAAGATCTGACCTCGTCCTTCATGGGAAAGACTGATTCCTAACATTGCCTCTCCCCCAGTGCCCAAGACAAAAGAAGGCATTGCCCTCCTAGAGGCAAACCTTCATGCCTGAGATCTAGGGAAAGCGAATTTCACCAAAGTAGGCGTCTCAGGAAGGCCTGGGTGTACTTGACAAAGGGTGAGAAGTGAAGTAGGGGCCGGTCAGCCTGTTTCCATCCTGGCTCTGCTGCTGGCTCTGTGATCTCGGGCAGGTCAGCACTGCAGGAATTTGCACTGACATTCGCACAAGTTGGGGGAGATCACAATCCCCTGGGGTTCCTTGTATCTGAGGTCTGGGAGCCATGGGGGAAGCTCACCTTCGTTACATCAATTGTGTTTCTTTTTCTTCTGTTCCAGCAAATGCAAAGGCCTGTCCAGCAGTTATTTCTGAAATGATAAGCCAAATCTTGGACTCTAAAATCGTCTTCACAGTCAAGACTCTGAAATTTCTTCCACCTGTGGATGCTATCGAGTCCATGCTGAAAGTGAAGACATGCATTGATAAGATCTCCTATGTCGACAGAGAAATTATTGCCCATTTTCTGGTAATTTCTTTTTCCTTTCTTCATGGAGGTGTCTGCTCAGCTGCATGACCAGGAGTGAGGGAAGAGTATTGTTCTGGGGGCGCACAGCTTGTGGGAGGTACCTGTCTTTTGGCTCACCTCTGATAGAGTTCCTGTGCTCAAAGGTGGATTATAACCAGACACCTGCTGAACAGGACTAAGGTGGAACAGAATGTCTTGGGCATATTTCTCCCTGGGCACCAGGTTCCCCACAGTGTCCAGAGTGAGGACAACCAGGGACAACCAGTGGTGATGTTGAAAGACCAGAGGCTGCTGCCTCCCTGCCTGGGAGCTTTCCTGACGGAGGGAGAGTGGCCCTCACCCAGTGGCACTGTCCCCTGGGGATCCCCTGGCAGTGCTGGGAGTGGTGAAGGGGAGACAGTGGAGGGAAAGCGCTGGCCCCCGTCCCTGTCAGGATGGAGCACTGGCCGCCTGGCTCTGGCACATTTGCAGAGCCAAGGCCGGCGCCCTGTCCCTGTGCCCCACTTTCCTGCCCTCCTCAATCAGGGCCCGTGGGCACAGACCCTGCCTGCTATGTCCTCTGCGGCCCTTGTGGAGCTGACCCCTTCCTCGGGTGTCTGTGAGGGAGTCAGATACGGGAAGGTGTCTCTCAGCTCCTCTGCCCTGAATGAAGTCGGGTTTCATGCCAATGTCCACACCAGCCGGACTCTCGGGGGGAGAAGTCCATGGGCGGCCAGACTGCACTTCCCACCAGGAGGCTGGAATCTCCTGCAGGAAGATTTTCCCACTCTCCCCCCCAAACCCCATCCAGGTCCCTCAGCCCCGGGTCCACTCTGGAGGAAACACCCGGTCTTCGGACCCAGGACTCAGAGCAAGGAAATCCCAGGCTGCTCCCCCACCCTTGACCCTCCAACTGGCTCCAGCAGACACCTGAGCCCCTCTCTGGGGTCTCTGGGGCCTATGTGTGAGGCTGTGGGCATCCTCTTTCCTGACCTACTGGGTGCATTGTGCCTGCATCAGGACTATTGAGTCCCCACACGCACGGCCATCCTGCCTGGTGCCCGCTGGGCGTTTGCTGGTTGCAGTTTCTTTCAGGTCTTGGTTGTGAACAGCCCTCTGTGTGAACCGGTCACCTCCAGGGCAGCATGACCGAGGCACCTCTCTTTCTTTTTCTCTTTCAGGTCAAAATACAGAATACATGTAACAGTGGGTTTCCCACCAGCTCCCCTACCACTGTCTCTGTTGCTCAATGATGACCTGATCTTCCTTGGAAAATGTAGAGGTGTCAACGTCTTGCTTCAATAAATCACTTGACCTGCATGTCTCCACGTGTCCTGTTTTATCCTAGACTTCTTCCCCTTGCTTTGGGGTGATTTCATCTTAACTTGGTTTTCGATGGTGTCAATGTGGCATTTTACAGACTCGACAAGCTGTGGCCGCGGCATTGGAGGGCAGGGATCACAGAGGGAACATTGCTCAGGAACCCCTGTGTCACTCACAGGTCTCCCAGTGCCATGGCCCTGACAGAAAAGGAGGGTGATGGGTAAAAACACTCCACAGAAAGGGTGGTCCCTCGGCTTGGTCCCCAAGGAACCGCAGCCTGAGGCCAGTCACCTGGTTCCCAGCAGCAGCAGCCGCCCTGCTCCCCCCTCCCATGAGCTCAAGCAGCCCGCTGGCCTCAGCCCTTCCCTGGGCTTGCAGGCTGGGAGGGGCCCGGGGAGCGTGTTTTCCCTCCACTTCTCCACCTGCAGGGACCGTCCAGGCTTCACTCTGTGCCCTGCACACACTTGTGTCGCTCACCACCCCTGGCTACTGCCACCTCCCCCAAATTCTCCCTAAAGCCCTGAAGCAAGCAGGCAGCTGCCAGGGGGAAACTCCACTCCAACAGTGCACCCCGACCCCAGGGAGCAGGTCAGAGGAGCACAGGGAATGCGCAGCCCTCCTGTCCCGGGGGGCACAGGCTCAGGGGCCAGCAGCCCCAGAACCCCCGACACACCCGTCAGAGTTCCAGGATGAGTGTCCAGGGGCTGCTGCAACACCCGCCACACACTGTGGCCTCAATTAAGTGATTGACCCTGTTGTGGAGGTCCAAAGTCAAAGATCTGTATCATTTGGGGAAATTTCAGTGTCAGGAGGAAATGCTGGCTGTGGACGGTAAAGGTGAACAGCTCTCCCTGGTCGCTGCCCCTGTGAGGGCTGCTCCCATCCTTGTCTGGTACCACATCGCCCCGTCTCTCCCCATGAGGTGACAATGCTGCGTCCTTTCTGGTGCTGAAAATCTCTCTGTGTCTCCTCCGTATACAAAATATGGGGTGGCAGTGAGAGGACCCCAGGAAATCCAGGATTATCTCATCAACTCAACATCTGTAACTTTATCACGTCTGCAAAGCCCCCTTTGCCCTGGGAGAGAAATGACATGTTGTGGGTTTAGGGTGTGGAACTTGCTGGGGGCATCATGAGCCCACTGCAGCTTATCTCACCCCCGACACCTATGTGTCCGCTACGTTCTGCCCCCTCCCTGGCCCCAGCATCCCTTGGACATCCTGTCCTTTCCATCCCCACAGCCATCATCATAGGCCAGGCCCAGACCCTCCGGGCTTGTGTCAGAGTGTCATAAACTGTCCCCTGGGGTGGAAGATGCCCTTCTTTCAATCGGCTTTCGTTTTGACACCACAGTGACCTCCGACAACAAAATGGAATCCCACCTGCTCCTGTCGCCCTGAAACCCTAGGGCTCATGTGCTCCTACTGCTCCAGGAAGAGCACTTAGCTTTAGTCCCCTGAGCATTCTCCAGTTGTACAGGGTGCGTTTCTACAGGTTCTGATGCAGACCGTAGCAGAGAGGACTACCTGCGGTTATCGGCTCTGGCCAAGGCTTTTACAGTAAGTGTGTACTTTGATCACGTCCGGAAGCATATATACTCTAATTAGTCTCTATTTTCTGAAACACATGATGTATTCAGCCTACCTCCTATGCTGGGTGGACACAGGACTCTTGGGGCTCTTGCAACAGCCTGAGAAACAGGGAGTGGAATTGCGCGGGGAGGACCAGGGCCCCGTCTGGCTTTGTACACAAGGCCTTGCAAGGCCCATTCCTGGCACCCTCTCACCTTAGCTCCATGCTCACCCAGTATATGTGCCCAACCATGGTTGTCTATATGCCATTCAGCCATGCTTTACCTTCGGTCACACCACTGCCCATGGGCATGTCCTGGTCCCTCTGCCTCCACACTGTTCCCTGTAGAGGACAGCCGACCACCCCACCTATAAGGTCCACTTCACGTCTCCTTCTTGATGGTGCCCTATCTGACTCTTGCCCCCTAAAAAAAACCTTTATACACAGACATAATTTACACTCAACAACGCACACAGATACACGTTTTATACACACACACCCCTGAGATGTGCACAATGAGACCCATACATTCACACAGACAGACATTCACACAGACAGACACATGCATTCACACAGACATGTACACACAGAGACATATATACAGATAGGTATAGTCATCCCTCTGCTATCACTGTATCTTTCTGTGATGTGGTGTTCATATAACAGAGTTGTTTGAAGAACAACTCTCTGTTTGATGTGCCTCCCGGGTTTTCCTTATTGACAATGTGACAACTTTTAGAAACTCTGCTTGTAACAAATGGAGTTTAACCAGGTTACAGGACTGACTTCTGCAGACTCTTTGTTTTACCTGTGAGCCTCTACTCCTTCCCTGGCAAGTGCTGTCACTGTCAGTCTCACTCTGCTCCTCACACATCTTCCCTCCCCATCCCACTTAAGCTCTTGGACAAGCTCTATATTCCCCACCCAAAGCACTGGTTTTGGCATAAGCTTAATTCAAGCAAACTTTCAATGGCTCTCCATTCTTCGAATATGAAACTCATTGTCTCCATTCAAAATTACTATGTGCAGGCCTGAATGACCATCAAAACTTCACCTTGTGTTAAAGTGAACACCTCCCCTTCCTCTCTCCCTTTTAATTCTACTTTTTCTCTCCCACATGCCAACCTTGTTTCTGACACTTTGAGGGTATAAAAATAGAGAGAAAAAGAAGACAAGCAACTTCTTAACTGACACATATTCTTTGGAGACTGGTCTAAGTTCTCTGGGCCAGAAAGAACTTTCTCTCAGGGGATACCTTCAGGGGTCTTCAGAAAGCTAAGATCACTATGATCTCCTGTTGACTTCATGATTCATAAATACTCACAGCAAAACAAGTAGTTCTGGGAAAACTGTCAAATCTTCGGAAGACAAAGCATTGTCCAGGAAGAAAAACTCTGTGAGGATGTGAGGAGTGAGTTGGATGTTAAAACGCAAAGTCAAGGAGGAAGACAGAAAGGAGAAAGCGAGGCCCTCCAGGAGCGAGGACAAGCCTGGCAAAGTCTTGACCGTGAAGCTGAGCTGCAAGCACTAGAGGACACAAGTGCCCACACTCCTGTCGGCATTGTTCTGCATCGAGGCTCCACTCAGTGTCTGCTGAGTGGGAGATAACCTCTCTCTGCCAAAGGACAAATGCTTTCAGCGAATTCTCTATCACTGGGTGTCAAATCTGGTCTTAGGAATTTGATGCAAATAGCACATCACCCACCCTGTGGGGACATCAAAATATCTCTGGACATGGACAAATGTACACAGGGTTGAGTGCAAGGAGGGAGAAAATCAGGCCCACTAGAGAATCTCAGTTCTAGCATTGGAAATATGCATTATTATCCAGGGGAGCGGTTTGGAGGAGGGTGGAGGGGGTCAATGGAGGAAGAAAATGGGACATTTGTAATACTTTCAAAAATAAAGATAAATAAATAAATGAATAAATAAATAAATAAGTATTACTAGATTGCCAACATTTTCACTGTGACACACATAAGGGCCAGAGGTTCCCATTCTGGAGGCCACAGTCAGTGAGACAATGTGGGCATTAGCTGTAGAGAAATTAGTGACAGATTAGAGAAGATAATGGTGTAGAAATTGAATGAACCATATGAACTGTCACATGTGTATGGGGATTAAATATATAACCACACATTTTGTATAAACATCAAGCTGTGTAAAGTTCAGGGTTTTAGTGAATGAGCCAAAAAGAATAGGCTGGAGGTGACAACTGATCCTGACTCAGCTTCCAAATCCGGTTCCATGACCCAAATCATTAGACGGATCCGGGTTAGATTGGATCAAGCTAATGTTTACTTCTAGGAAATTGAAGGACTGAAGTGGCCCAGGCCCTGGATGTCAGAGTTCCAACTGCAGCTCTCCTGCTTTATGATACCTAAGAATCCACTAAGTTGTGTCTCCTCCATGGCCCCAGCATCCTTGGAACATTCTGTCCTTTCCAACTGCACAACTTTCATCATAGTCCAGGCCTAGTCCCTTCTGGCTTGTGTCAAAGTCCCCTAAACGGTCTCCTGGGGTCAGAGATACCCTTCCTGCAGTAGGATTTCTCATTGGCACCACAGTAACCTCTGACAACAAAGTGGGAATCCTACCTTACTTCTGTCACCCTGAAATACTCAATGTTTCAAGTAAGAGGACTTAGTATTAGTTCTCTACTTATTCTCCCATTATAAAGGGTATATTTGTACAAACGCTGATGGAGACAATAGCAGAGAGGACTACCTACGATTATCAGTTCTGTCCAATGCTTTTACAATAAGTGTGTATTTTTATCACGTCGGGAAGCATATGTACTCTAATTAGTCTCTATTTTCTGAAATACATTATGTATTCAGTCTACTTCCTATGCTGGGTGGACACAGGATTCTTGGGGCTCTGGCAAGAGCCTGAGAAACAGGGAGTGGACTGGCTCTGGCAGGAAGAGGGCCCCCTTTGGCGTTGCACACAAGGCTTTCCACAACTTGTCCCTGGCACCACTCCCACCTCATCTCCCTGCTCAAACAAAATCTGTGCCCAGCCATGGTTGTCTTTATGCCAGTCACTCATGCTTTACCTTGGGTCACACTACTGCCCATGGACATGTCGTGGACCCTCTGCCTCCACATTGTTCTCTGTAGAGGACAGCTGACCACCCTATCTGTAAGGTCCATTAAATATCTCCTTCTTGAAGGAGCCCTCTCTGACTCTCACCCCTTAAAATAAACTTTTATACACAGAAGCAAGTTTATATTCAATGACACACAGATAGATACACATTTATACACACACACACACATACACACTAAGCCCAGACACACGCACAATGAGACACCCACACAGACACAGACAGACCTTCATACAGACATGCACATGAAAGGCATAGTCACCCTTGTGTTATCACTGTATCTTTCTGTGTTGTAGTATTCATATCACAGAGTTGTTTTGAGAACATATTGAATAAATTAATAATATAAAAACAAATGTTATCAACCATTATCATTATTTCTAAACTACTTCAGAGTTTACGTGCATCGGGCAGCCTATGGGGTGGACCTTGTCCAGGGAGGCTTACAGGTTCTATCTCACTGAGTCCTGACTACACTCCAGGAAGGGAAAGACTGTGACCATCATTGGACATGGGAACAA